AAAGGAAGGCCATGTTCACACAACATGCTAGGCTAGCATTTTTTTGAACTGTGGTTTGGTATAGTTTTTAAGATCAATCAAATATGCTATACCAGATTACTTAATACCCCAAAATGGAGTTATTGTTACTTTTAAATTATCTTTATTGACATTTTTTCCTGGAATACAAATTCTTGCTCAATCTAACCCACACCATTTCAGTGATGTATAATAAAGCAAAATACACCATAGTTTGGAAAAGGTTCACTTCTTTTTTTTTTTTTAAGAACTTTATTAAATTTCAACAAAGGATAAAATGTAAGAAAACAGAAAAAAAAGGAAAAAGAAAAAAGATCAGAAAAGGGAAGGAAATTTAAAGTGCAGAAAAGGAAGAGTAAAAAGGAAGGAAAGGATAACTGACTTTCCTTGGTACAGGTACAAATATACAATACGTTCATCTTTTACTCTAATGTATAAACTAATACAAAGTATTTCTATAGCCATAAAATATATCAGTCATCAAAACCAAAATTAAAATTTCATTTCTTTCAGTTTTAAGCAAAAAGTCAAAAAGGGGTTTCCAAACAGAAACAAAGCTAGTCAGATTCTTTTCTTTAATCAAAGTAGTCAATTTGGCCAACTCCATTAACTTCGCTATCCATTCTTCAGTTGTAGGTATTTGTGAGTCCAGTTCTGTGCATACAAAAGTCTCACTGCTGTTATCATATAAAAAATAAAGAAGATTCACTTCTTAAGTTTCTCTATACCTTAAATTTTTCCATTGTGACTCCAAAGATTACCTTCTCAGAAGACATTGACCAGGGTCATCTCCAATTGTTTTGGTCTAATATAATTGTTGTCAGAGATGACATGCTACAGGGGCCATCGATTAAACTGTGTCAACTGTTGGGACCCAGGAAACAAGACTTCTCTGCTGGAGTGCCTGCCCTCCCAGAGATCCTTATGGCATCTACCCTGGCTATGTTTGAACACTCTTTGAAAACATGGCTCCCTCCTCCAGGCATTGGGCTAGATGGGTGATGGGCTCTTATGGGGCTACTGTATGTATGTTAGGTTAGATGTTTTATTGCTTTCCCAGTGTGTATAGTTCTTTCTCTTTGACTTCTGTTTTGGGACTGTTTTGATTGTTGTAACCCACCCAGAGTTGTTGTAGGGTCAGACAGCTTTATAGATCTGATGGGGTTTTTTTTATTTGTATGTCACCCAGAGTCACATACTTTCAGTTGAGCAGCCATATGAATGAATGAATGAATGAATGAATGAATGAATGAATATACCAGGTTATTTGAGGTACCCTCTCTCCCTGATGGTGGCTAGCCACCCCATCACTTCCAGCAATAGAGGCATGCTACAGGTCCCATGTATTAAAGAGTGCCTTCTGGTGGGACCCACGAACATAGACTTTTCTGTCTTGATGTCTGCTCTTTGGAACATCATCTCTCAGAGATCACATTAGCCCCAACCCTGGTAGTCTTTTGTAAGGCCTTGAAGATTTGGTTCTGTCACTGGGCATCAGAGTTGGGATGTATGGCAGAGTCTGTGGGATGGTTGTAGTGTTTTTTAACCTTGGTTGCCGATTTGTATTTATTGTAATATTGTGTTGTTGTTGTGATATTGTTTTTTAACTGTTATTAGCTGCCCAGAGTCATATTGAGGTGAGCAACCATATACATTAAATAAATAAATAAATTGCCATGAGTATCAGTGAGCATGCCTTTCAGAATCAGCTGCTGGGCAGTGTTTGGAAGATGTCATTGCGTGTCTACTTCTCAGTTTCCCCCCTGTCTCTGTTGGAGATGAGACAAGATATACCCTTGGTCTGATTGAGCCAAGAACTTTCTTATGTTCTGTCTGGTGTGGTTCACAGCTGTGGTCGGCTTAATGATGGCTTATTGGTTAAATAACAATTGACTAGATTCACACAATCTGCAAACCTCCAAACCAACAAGCCGTGTGACTCTAGCCCAGTGTTTCTCAACCTCAGCAACTTTAAGATGTGTGGACTTCAATTCTGGCTGCTGGCTGGGGAATTCTGGGAGTTGAAGTCCACACATCTTAAAGTTGCTGAGGTTGAGAAACACTGCTCTAACCTGTCCTTGCTTTTGTGGATGGAGAGTAGTTTTGCTTTTATGTCACCAACAATACTTACCTGTGAATGCTGGAAACAGAAGAAACCATGCAGTCATCTGGAGCTATCCCAGTAATTTGTGGACATGGTTTGTCCCTCCAGTTCAGAGAAAGATTTTCAGAATTATACAACTCCTAACTAACTGAGCCGTGAGGCCAAGGAAGGAAATTGTCTTAGAAAATGGTGAATTAGAAAAGCTGGAGGGTGTCTCCAAATGGGCAGATGTCAGGGTGCATTTAGATCCAAATGGACAAAAGGGGGAAAAGGTCCCATATTTTGTTTCCTTTTGTGTTATTATTGTTGTTTCTTCTCCAGCTTGGATCTTTATTTCCCTGTGGGTCTTTTGGCAGGGGATGGTAAGAGTGGAGATTAAAGGAAGAGAAAAATGGTGTGTTTTTTTTCACTGTCAAAAGATTTGGTATTTTTTTTTTTAACCCTTAATATATTTACTCAGCTGCTCAGCTACTGTTCAAATACTTTCTCATGAAGCAATATCTGGTGACTAGCAAAACGGGGTGGGGGGGGAGAGTGCCATGGAGGAATGCACTGGGGGTCAGGACTGGGAAACTACCAGTTGCCCAACACATCAGTACGAAGGGTCAAGTGACTTCCTAGCAGCAAAGAGAACAGAGTTCTGATCAGTAGGGGGAAGTTGGATCTGAAAGTGCTCCAATGTAATGTAATGTTCTGAAGCCTTGCAGGAAATCAAACTGGCCATTTCTAGACACCAACAAAACAGCTGAACAAAGAAAAGGGCTATCTGATGATGAACACTACCCCACAAAAATTTCTCCTGTCAAGAGGGTATGTTGAAATATATTGGGGATTTTTAGCTTTTCCTCCAATCAACATCTCTTAAGCATCCTTAGAGATTTAGTCTCACCTGTTTGAAGCTGAACTACCAGGCATAACCAGAACCTAAGTCTGTGGTGCTGAGACTGACCTTTAAAAAGATGGTGGTCTTGGGAAGAGATGGGAAACTATAGCCCTCCAAATATTGGATTCCAGCTCCATCAACCATTGCCTTGACCAATGATAAGGGCAGTCCAATACTATATGGAGTGCCACAGATCCCTCTTTCCTGTAATGGAGAACACCTTGGCTGGTTTTGATAATCTTGTGGTTGAAAGAGGAGGTGGTGGAAGTTATCTGAGTCTGGGAAGAGAGGTCTAGGATGGAGTTGTCCCAAACTCCATAATTAGATTTACAAAACTGAGATCAAATTTAGATAATGAATCAGGAAAGCAGAGGGAATTTGATTGTCCTACTACAGAGACTAGTGATCTTAGATTATGAGGTCATCCTGAGAAGTCACGAAGAAGCTATTTCGGCCTGACAATCTAGGCTGCAACTGCAACTCTCACAATTTCCAGCCATCATGGGAGTTCAGTCCCAATGCAGCTGGAAAATGTCAGGTTAGAATAGCTTCACTATTTCTTTTCAATCAAAATGATCGTTTTGGACTAGTGTAGTTGGAAAGCCTGATGCTATCTGAATAATACTTCTGTGCTGTTTCATTCTAGTGCACATTCCTTTAGAGAAAACAATTACTTTCCCCACTTTGAGATCTACCAGAGATAGACATCTCAGAGTTTCCATTTTGCAAATTATGTCCATGTATCTCCTCGGAGCAGAGGCTTCCAAGTGATGACCTCCAAAAAGGTTTGCCTATCCTCAGCACCAACAGTCTTTGAGAATGTTTTCTAGATGAACCTTTTTTGAGGCAGTTACCATACTTGACAATAATTTTAGGATTTTGAGTTAGTGTATTAAAGTGCTTTATACTATCAGCTACTTTGCAAATTAGTTTGGAGAAACAATATATAAATACTATAAGTAAAATAAAGACACAGTGGAATCCTGTATTATTTTTTAAATAAATCTTAACTACAATCATTAAGTCAATAAAGTAAAAAATCAAGTTATCTTGTATACTGGAATCAACAACAGCTTTACATTCCATGTTAAGTAGCTTATGATGTTTTATTATTTTAATGAAATCTTAAAAGGCAAGTTATTCATTATACCGACACACAAAACTGGTTTTGCTACACAGAACACTCAGAAGTACAAAACACATTTTTATCCACAGCACAGTTCCACACACTGACATGAAAGAGTTCAACAGAGATTGATGCCAATGGTAAGAAAAGTCAGTTAAAGAAACAAAACATCTGTAGTTACTTCTTAGGGAAAAACTGATGCAAAATAATATACAATCCAGAGCCAAGAATAAGCACATTGAGATCTCAGTGGGAGATATTCAAGTGAACTGCATTGGTTGCCAGTCTGCTTCCAGGTCCAATTCAAGGTGTTGGTCATCATCTTTAAAGCCCTTTATGGCACAGGACCAGGTTATCTGAGAAATCGTCTTGCCCCGGTTATTTCAGTCCGCCCCACTCGGTCCAGCAGAAGGGGCATGTTGCAGACCCCACTGGTCAAGGAAATTTGACTGGTGGGATCTAGGCAGAGGGCCTTTTCTGCTGTGGCCCCCGCCCTATGGAACAA